ATATTTTTTCATTCCAGAAGTATGTTCAGGTGCCAGTACTGACCGAATTTGTTCCCATAAGGAATATTGTGAAGTAGATTAGTCCATTTCAGACCCCCAAACATACACGTACAAACGCACTTACATAAATACACTTACATAATTGGTCGCATTGGGAGGTGATCGTTAAGCGGGGGTCCACTGTACATATTTGTTGTGTGTATGTAAAGCTATAATTAATCTCAATAAAATGTTTTTTTTTTTTTTGTGAATATTTTTGGGTTTCTGGAACGGATTAATTGTACTTCCGCTATTTCTTATGGGAAACATCGCTTCGTTTTCAAACTTTTCGAATTTAGGACTAGCTCCTGGAACGGATTAAGTTCAAAATTCGAGGTTCCACTATATACATACAGTGGAACCAAGGTTTTCGTCTTTAATCCATTCCAGAAGGTCAGCCGATAACCGATTTGTACAAGAACTGAAGTAATATTTTCCTTAAATATTAACAAAAAATAAATTTTATAGAGAATAAGTATAGTTTTACATACAGAACTCAATGAGAAATAAATATAAAACACTAATTTTAATAGATAAATGAACACTGAAATCAGTTTTACCTTTATTGAAGACTTGGCATATGGAAGATGGCGAGGAGGGGAGACGGAGGAGAGTTTGTTTGGAAGGGGAATCTCCCTCCATAAGAACTTCAGGTAACAAAGCCCTATCTGGGGTTACTTTCCTTCTTTGTCTTTTACTGGCACTACGACCAGCTTGAGAGTCACTGGACCCCTGTCGCACAAAAAAATCTGTCCAGAGAGGCCTGTTTCTGGCATGTCTTTAGGATTTGCCTAAAATAGGACAGGACACTGTCATTGAACATGTTTCTGACATGGCTTGCAACAACTTTGTTAGGGTGATATTTCTCCACAAAATTTTGCACCACACTCCACTTTGCACAAATGTCCTTAATCGCTGAAGGAGGCACATTCTCCCCTCTCTCTTCCTCCTCCTCTGAAGCAAGTTCCTTAGCTAAGGTCTGTTGGTGTTCCAGATGAAGGTCTTGCAGCTCTTCAGTGGTTATATCTTCTCTGTGGTCCTCCACAAACTCTTCCACAGCCTGGCCACTCACCTCCAAACGCATGGACTTCCCAAAGACACACTAGATTCCACAACAGGCGTAGGGTCGTCAGGGTCAGTCTCAAACCCTTCAAAATCCTTCTCGAGGAAACATTCTGGCCACAATTTTCTCCAAGAAGAGTTAATCATCCTGGAAGTCACTCCCTGCCATGCTTTATCTGTAAGGGTTATGCAATTGAGGATATTTAAGTGATTCCTCCAGAACTCTTTTAGTGTCAATTCAGTGTTTGAGATCACTTCAAAGCACCTTTGAAACATTGCTTTGGTGAGGAGTTTTTTGAAGTTTGATATGACCTGCTGGTCCATGGGCTGGATGAGAGGGGTGGTAAAGGGGGGAAGAACTTCACTGTGATGAAACTAAACTCCCCCAACAATTGGTCTTCCAAGTCTGGAGGATGAGCAGGAGCATTGTCCATTACCAGGAGGCACTTGAGTGGCAATTTGTTTTCCAGGAGGTATTTCTTCACCCTCGCACCAAACATTTCAATGACCCACTCAATGAAAATCTGCCTCGTGACCCATGTCTTATAGTTAGCCTTCTATAACCGGGCTCAGAGAGTAGATTAACTCTCAAAACTCTTCAAAGGTATATCAAAGGTAAGGTATATTCCCACAATTTACTCTTGATGATGTCGTTTTTCTTGAACACTCTGGGATTTTGAGAGTGATACACCAGTAAAGGCTTCACTTTGAAATCCCCACTAGCATGGCTTTAAATTCACTAACAGCAGTACTCGTTCCAGGCATTTTCTTTATGAAATCCACATGCAACTGCCTTGTCTTTTCACAAATTATCGCCTCCACAATACTATCTCCCGCTAACTGTTTTTTGTTGATCCACACCAACAACAACTTTTCAACATCTTTGATTGCTTGCAATCTCTGTTTCGTTAGCACATTTACCCCTTTTGCAACATCAGCTTCCTTGATTTCTTTTTTCTTGGCCAGGATGGAACTCATCATTGATTTGGACTTTCCATACATCATGGTGAGCTCGGCCACATGTACGCCACTTGTGTATTTATCAACAAGTTTTTTCTTGAATCCTATTGTGTTTCTCACCTTCTTTACCAAAGGACTGGCACTCGGAATTTTTTTTGGCCACAGGTTGGCTTATTTAGCAGTCGCAAGCACAAAAAACAATGGATTATTACGAAATGTTTCAGAAGAACACACGGAGAAATGCTCACTGAAAGAGTAATAATGGCAGACTGAGTCAGGAATGTATGAGCTGCGTCACATGGCCAGGCAGACACGTCTGGTATGGACGATTTCCAAGGAGATGTATGAAAACGGTGAATATTTCACCAAAAAAAAGTGGTTGAAGATTCAATTATATGATAACCGGACTGGACAAAAACTGGGGTTCCACTGTATGTATATGTTGAAGATAGGGAAGTTGTGATTTCATGTATAGGGCAAGGAAGAATAACATCTTGTAAGAGTGAGGGGAAAGTCTGCGAGGCAGTGGGTAGAATGAAATGGGGCAAGACAGCTGGGATTGATGGGATAAAGATAGAAATGTTAAAAGCAGGTGGGGATATAGTTTTGGAGTGGTTGGTGCTTTTATTTAATAAATGTATAGAAGAGGGTCAAGTACCTAGGGACTGGCAGAGAGCATGCATAGTTCCTTTGTATAAAGGCAAAGGGAACAAAAGAGAGTGCAAAAATTATAGGGGAATAAGTCTGTTGAGTATACCTGGTAAAGTGTATGGTAGAGTTATTATTGAAAGAATTAAGAGTAAGAGAGAGAGTAGGATAGCAGAAGAACAAGGAGGCTTTAGGAAAGGTAGGGGGTCTGCAGAGCAAGTGTTTACAGTGAAACATATATCTTCTTTCTTTCAACACACCGGCTGTATCCCACCGAGGCAGGGTGGCCCAAAAGGAAAAACGAAAGTTTCTCCTTTTACATTTAGTAATATATACAGAAGAAGGGGTTACTAGCCCCTTGCTCCCGGCATTTTAGTCGCCTCTTACAACACGCATGGCTTACGGAGGAAGAATTCTGTTCCACTTCCCCATGGAGGTAAGAGGAAATAAACAAGAACAAGAACTAGTAAGAAAATAGAAGAAAACCCAGAGGGGTGTGTGTATATATATGCTTGTACATGTATGTGTAGTGTGACCTAAATGTAAGTAGAAGTAGCAAGATGCACCTGAAACCTTGCATGTTTATGAGACAGAAAAATGGACACCAGCAATCCTACCATCATGTAAAACAATTATAGGCTTTCGTTTTACACTCACTTGGCAGGATGGTAGTACCTCCCAGGGCGGTTGCTGTCTACCAACCTACTACCTAGATGAAACATATATGTGAACAGTATTTAGATAAGGGTAAAGAGATTTTTGTGGCATTTATGGATTTGGAAAAGGCATATGATAGGGTGGATGGGGGGGGGGGCAATGTGGCCGATGTTGCAAATATATGGAATAGGAGGAAGGTTACTGAAAGAAGTGAAGAGTTTTTACGGAGATAGTGAGGCTCAGGTTAGAGTATGTAAGAGAGAGGGAGATTATTTTCCAGTAAAAGTAGGCCTTAGACAAGAATGTGATGTCACCATGGTTGCTCAATATATTTATAGATGGGGTGGTAAGAGAAGTGAATGCCCGAGTGTTGGCAAGAGGAGTGGAGTTAAAAGATAAAGAATCTAACACAAAGTATGAGTTGTCAAAGTTGCTCTTTGCTGATGACACTGTGCTTTTGGGAGATTCTGAAGAGAAGTTGCAGAGGTTGATGGATGAGTTTGGTAGGGTATGTAAAAGAAGGAAATTAAAAGTGAATATAGGAAAGAGTAAGGTGATGAGGATAACAAAAAAATTAGGTAACACAAGACTGGATATCAGATTGGAGGGAGAGAGTATGGAGGAGGTGAATGTGTTCAGATATTTGGGAGTGGACATGTCAGCAGATGGGTCTATGAAGGATGAGGTGTATCACAGAATTGACCAGGGAAAAAAAGGTGAGTGGTGCACTGAGGAGTCTGTGGAGGCAAAGAACTTTGTCCATGGAAGCAAAGAGGGGAATGTATGAGAGTATAGTTATACCAATATTCTTATATGGGTGTGAAGCATGTTTGGTGAATTTTCCAACAAGGAGAAGACTGGAGGCAGTGGAGATGCATGTCTGATGGCAATGTGTGTTGTGAATATAATGCAGAGAATTCGTAGTTTGGAAAATAAAAGGAGGTGGGGGATTAGCAAAACTATTATCCAGAGGGCTGAGGAGGGGTTGTTGAGGTGCTTTGGACATGTAGAGAGGGTGGAACAAAATAGAATGACTTCAAGAGTGCATAAATCTGTAGTAGAGGGAAGGCGGGGTAGGCGTTAGCCTAGGAAAGGTTGGAGGGAGGGGGTAAAGAGGTTTTGTGTACAAGGGGCCTTGATTTCCAGCAAGCATGCATGAGCATGTTAGATAGGAGCAAATGGAGACAAATGGTTTTTAGGACTTGACGTGCTGTTGGAGTGTGAGCAACGTAACATTTATGAAGGAAGCTAAGGAAACTGGCAGGCCGGACTTGAGTCCTGGAGATGGGAAGTACAGTGTCTGCACTCTGAAGGAGGGGTGTTAATGTTGCAGCTTTATAACTGCAGTGTAAGCACACCTCTAGCAAGACAGAGTTGGAGTGAATGATGAAAGTTTTTCTTGTTTGGGCCACCCTGTCTTGGTGGGAGAAGGCTGATGTGTTAATAAAAAATAATAAATATTCTACTTCCTAGTATTCTTTTCTTATTTTTATACAATATTAAAAATAAGTAATCTCACAATACTTTGCAAAGTGACTATTTGTCATAACATTAAAGAAGACATATCCTATGCATAAGATATATAACAAAAACCAATATCCTAGTTTTAATCATCACTGAGAAACGGTTTATACCTGATGCAATGCTGTCATGAAAGAAGTGATGTGATGTGGAAGAAGAGGAGCAGATTCTAATACATGAAGCAGTTCAGACAAGACCATGTCTCCACCCTGCAAAAACAAAATAAGAAAAATAAAATACTGTACAAACAGGAAAACACAGATACTTAATGTCTTTCTACTCTTAACCCTTAAACTGTCCACACACAGATCTACGTTCGCGTGCAGTGGGCTCCAAACGTAAATCAGCGTTTTATTTTTCATTCCTTCAAATTTGGTGCAATAGGTCTGATTTGCCTAGACATGAAAGAATGGGTCTGTGCACTCAGTGTGCGCACTATGAAAAAAATCGGGGACCACTTGGTACCTTGTGGGAGCACCAGTTCAACTGAGCACCAGCTAGAGCAAACAGTGTGGCAAACACCAGTGATTAATTGATGTCATGTCATATTAACACTCACATTTTAAGAGGGAAGTAAAAATAGGTTAGATAAATGCATGAGTGGGTGTGGGTGGGTGTGAGCTGGACCTGACTAGCTTGTGCTACTGGGTCAGATGTCATGCTCCTTTCACTGGATGTGACCTGACTAGGTGGGTCATTGGTCTAAGCTGGGGAGTGACATGAACCTGCCTTGCATGGGCCAGTAGGCCTGTTGCAGTGTTCCTTCTTTCTTATGTTCTTATTTATTCAGCTGGTTGGCTTTGGCTGTCTCTGTTTGTATCTGTCTATATCTCTATCTATAGCTCTGTCTATCTGTCTATATCTCTGCCTGTCTATATCTCTATCTATATCTCTGTCTATCTGTATCTCTGTCTCTCACATGTATTCATAAATACAGTTAGTATACATAATGTAAATTACCTAGGATAACCCAAAAAATCCAGGCCAAGTGCTATACAGTGTTTGTAGATGCAAGACATAAATAAACATGACGCAAATAATAGCAGTGTCACTTGCTCAGCAAACAGGGAGCAGCTCATACACCACAAACCAACAGGTTTGCTAGCCGCTCCCTGAGATAGAGACAAGCTGATGGAAAGACAGACATACACAGGCAGACAGAAAGACAGATAAGCAGAACTAGACAGATATGCACAGCTAGACAGACAGATAGATGTACAGATAGACAGACTGACAGACAGACATACAGAGACATGTTTGTATGCAAGAGTAAAAACACATAAAGGCAAGGTTCCCCCCTCCAGCAGCGCACATTCATCAAATGTCACTTGTTATCTGGTGCTTGTCATAACACCACTATTAAAGGAGTTCATATTATACTCCAGGCACACACAGAAGACAGAAAGACAGATAAGCTGAACTGAGCAGACAGATAAGCAGAGCTAGGCAGACAGAGAGACAGATGTACAGATAGACAGACAGATTGATGATAAGATAGACAGACTGATAGAGGTACAGATAGATGTATGGATAGACAGACTGATAGATGTACAGACAGACAGACAGATAGATGTACAGATACACTACAGATGACACTACATTTGTCTTCTCTCACCCAAGCCCAGTCATGCTAGCCAATACTGTAAATACCGAATTACAGAAAATATCTACCTGGATGATGACTAACAAACTTACTCTCAACATTGAAAAAACCTACTTCATTCAGTTTGGAAACAGAGCTACAGATGTCCCTCTTAACATAATGATAAACAGATCACCCATCACAAAGCTCACAGAGGGAAAATTCTTAGGAATCCACCTTGATAGTAGACTCAAATTTTAAACACATGTACAACAAATTTCCAAGACCGTAGGCATACTATCGAAGATACGGTACTATGTTCCACAGTCAGCCCTCCTGGCCCTATATCACTCACTTATTTACCCCTATCTCACCTATAGAATTTGTGCATGGAGATCAACAACAATAAACCATCTCAGACCATTAATTACCCAACAAAAGGCTGCGGTCAGAATAACAAATTACCACAACAGGCAGCACACCCCACCAATTTTCAAAACTCTGAACCTACTCACCATACAAAACATCCATACTTATTATTGTACCTACTACACACATAGAACACTTAACTCAGATATAAACCCTCCCCTCAAACGTCTTCTTACCAACCTCAACAGAACACATGACCATAACACAAGGCACAGATCACTTTTTGATGTTCCTCGTGTCCATCTCACACTATGCAAAAACTCAATGCATATAAAAGGCCCAAAAATCTGGAATTCATTACCTGTTAATATAAAAGAAACACTGTCTGTTTATAAATTCAAGTCTCTTCTTAAAAATAACTTACTCACCCACAACTAAATAAATACTGAATAGCTGTATCTCATAAATGTTTAACCTGTGACCCTATCAAACTTTGTTTTTTTTTAATTACATTACCTAACAGAATACTCCATTCTACTGAATACACAGCAACACAGTAAATGATCATATGACCTGTCTTTGAAATACTCATTTGTGCTTCATTGTTATTTGTTCACTATAATTTTTACCACTGAATATATCATTACTTAGTTAATCTTAAGTTAATTTTAAGCCTGCCCATAATGCTCTGCATACAAGGGGCTTTTGGCATGTTACACTTAACCACTGTATTTCTATGTACATCTATGTATCATGTCCAAATTAACCCTTAACCCTTAAACGGTCCAAACGTATATATACGTTTTTTCAACATCTGAAAGTATGTAAAAAAATGTAGATCTTCTTTTTTGTTTTACATTTGAAAACGTGTAAAAAAAACTTTTATCTACATTTTATGTTATATATGAAAATATGAAAAAAGTAGATCTACTTTTGTAGCACTACGAATTTGAATGTCGATCTCTTCGGACCGTTTAAGGGTTAATAATAAACAAATAAATAGACAGACATATAGACAGGCAGGCAGATAGACAGGCAGACAGACATACTGACAAACATACAAAGACATGTTTGTGTGCAAGAGTAAAAACATATAAAGGCAAGGTTCCCTCCAGCAAGGCACATTCTGACCCTTGTCATAACACCATGCTTCAAGGGGTTTCATACTCCAGCGTGTCTAAAACTTTGCTGGGACCTATAAATACTTTGTATATATTTCTAGACAATAGTAAATGACCAGGGCAGGTGAAAATGTTCACCTGTCAGTGTGTCTGTTACTATTTGAGTACTATTTCAGTACATAATATTAGTGTCAGAACAAAGCTTGGCTATGATATCACAAGAACTATTATAAATTGTAAGTATCAGAACATAAAAATTATATACGTAAATTAAAATAAAAATGAGAAAAAAAGCAAATCGGCAACACTTCTGCAAGCGGCAGGACTGGATTTGCCGTCAGGTGAGCATCCAGAGACAACTTCATGCTCTTATATCTCAGAAAGTACTGGTCCTCAGTTTTTTTTTTTTTTTTTTTTTTTTTTTTTTTTTTTTTTTTTTTTTTTTTTGGTCTTCATACCACACAGAAAATTGCCCTCTTTAATTTAAAAACAAAAAACGATTTTTTTATTTTTCAAAATATTCGGAGTGCCACGCAGGTGAACGTAGATCTATGTTTGGACAGTTTAACCCTTAAACTGTCCAAACATAGATCTACCTTCACGTGTGTAGCGCTATGACCTTGATTTTCCCCATTTGAAAGCATGTAAAAAATGTAGATCTATGTTCGGAGCCCCCCCCCCCCGCACATGGACGCAGATCTACGTTTGGACAGTTTAAGGGTTAAACACCCAGGCACACATCTTCACACTTTCTACTCTTAACCTTTAAACTGTGTCCAACGTACAAGTAAGCACAATCTGCCCCCTGCTAATATTTTTGACCTCAGCACAACTTTTTTGGTCTTCTACAATCTCTTAATACCTTTGAAGAAATCTATGGCCAGGAGGATCCACACAGTACATCATGGTTACCTATACTGGTGATGACTGTGCCCGACATATTAGTATCCCTAACTTGCACAATCAAACAGTGAAATCAGGAGCTGTTGATTCACCACCAGCTTCTCTACCAGTAAATAGGGTGTGGAAATGGCCCAAAGATGATGTATTCATTTCAGATTCATTCCAATTTCATGATACAAACAACCACAAAGTACACTAAGTAGATTTAACCTAGGATAACCCAATAAAGTCAAACACTGCAACTTATTTCCATGTTTCCATGAGTACTACACCTCGAAACAACTGTTATGCAGGATCTTGTTGCAAATACTTGTGTATGTTTTGCAGTAGTCTGGAAGGCACACAGGTGTTTTGGACACACAGTGTTTATATAACCCAGGATATTCCCTCGAACATAATGTTTTTTAACATAGGTTGTCTCCTACGGAGGCAGGGTGGCCCGAAAAACGAAGAAACAAAAGTTTTCTTTCTTTTTACATTAAGTAATTTATACACAAGGGGCTACTAGCTCCATGCTCCCAGCATTTTAGTCACCTCCTGTGACACGTTTTCAAACCTAAACATATAGCAAATAATTAACCTAGGATAACCCAATATATTCAAATTCAAATTTAAATTTAACCCTTTGACTGTTTACGCTGTATAAATATGTCTTATGCACCACTGTTTCTGATGTATTTATACCAAAGCTGGTAGGCCCACATGTGAAAGAATGGGTCTCCATGGTCAGTGCGCACCATATAAAAAAAATCGGGGAGCCAGTGGTGCATTGTGGGAATGCCATTTCAGTCGTCCTTTTTCAGCATGCTTAGCGGTAAGAAATATGTGACTCCCCAGCAAATCTGGGACTCTTCTCTTCCCAAGTGATGCTCTAACACAGATGGAAGTGTCAGCGAAGATCAATTTCATGATGTCGAGAAGTTTGAGACCAAAAGCAGTGGAGGAGGAGGAGGAGGAGGAAGAAGAAGAAGAGGAGGAGGAAGAGGAAGAGGAGAAGAGGAGGAAGAGGAAGAGGAGGAGGAAGAGGAAGAAGAGGAGGAGGAGGAAGAGGAAGAAGAGGAGGAGGAAGAGGAGGAGGAGGAAGAGGAGGAAGAGGAGGAGGAGGAGGAAGAAGAGGAGGAAGAAGAAGAAGATGTAATAATACTGTTCCCTTGAAGCAAGAAAAAAAAAGTCCACCCCATGACAGTGACAAGATAAGGGGAGATAACATCTGATAAGAGCTGACTTTTGATGA